GCTCGTCAAGCAGCGGTCGTGACAGCGAGAGAGGTTAGGGGGGGGGGGGACAAAACTGACGATGAAGATGGGAGTGTTGTTCTGTTGCGCGGCGCTCGGTCTGCCGCCAAGCACATGCGTGTAGGCCGCATCGCCCGCCAGCGAGTCGAGATCCTCAAAGAGCTTGCCGAGGCGAATGCCGCCGCTGGTGGCGATGTAGCGCTCGAGAATGTCGGGCTGGCTGCGAAAGGGAAGCGAAAGCTCGACGTACGAATCATGCATGCGTTTTGGCTTGCCGCGCGCGCGCGCGAGCAAAGGGGGAGTCAGAGTCAGAGAGGCAAGAGAGAGGCACGCAGGAGAGAGGGAAAAAAGAAAAAGCAATACCTTGAGAAGTTGAGCCTCGAGCTCGGGGCTGAGCGGCGCCACTTTGTGAGGCCGCTCGCCGCCGCCCGCCGCCGCTCGGGCTTGAGCTTCTTCGAGCCATGGTCTGCTTAGCAATCTCGCTACACCACAGCACACAACACCACGGCCTGGGCGTCAGCCCCAATGCCCTCTGTCTGTGCCGTCCACAACAACAATCAACGCACTAGGCAGTCGTGGCTGGATGCGTGCGGCGAGCGGATGTGTCTGCCGCACGTGGGCGGCCAGGCGCAGCAGTTTCGCCACGGCCTCGGTCTCCTGTGCCGGCGAGGCTTGCTTGCTCAACAGCCGGATGCGCTGCTGCTGCTGACTCTGGCGCTGTAGCACCTGCAAGCGCGGAGCGCGCCAGAGAGCCGTCTCTAGGCTGCGAGGCGCAGGCAAGCCGCTGGCCAACGACGGGAGCCGCATGGGGGCCGACGTGCGTGTGGTGGAAGATGCGGGCCCAAGAGAGAGAGAGAGAGAGACAGAGAGAGGAGTGGTGGTACCTTGTTAGGGCGCTAGCAGATGAGATGACGAGATGCGCTCGCTTCTGAATGCCTCGGGCTGCGCCGCCGCGTGCTTGAGGGAGAATCGTAGATCGTGGTTGCGCGTCAAGAGTGCGTGCGCATGGCCCAAGCGCGGCAAGGTCAGGCACCCGCAGCAAGAGAAGCCCAGCCGCCGGATCCGCCGGATCCGCGCCGGAGCGCGCCGGACCGCTTCCCCGCTCCGCGCGCTGTGGCTGCAAGGCCGCTTTGCGCCGCACCCCACGCTGCAGCTTCGACTCGACTGCACCCTGGGGGGGGGGGGGGGGGCACTACGACCGGCCGAGCCGGGGCCGCCTATCTCCGCTTCCTTCTCCCCCGCGAGAGATTCGATTCGCACCCGCACCATCATGGCTCTCGACTGCTTTCGTGTCTGGCAGGCCCTAAGAAAGCGGGGGGCCATGCGCGTCGTGCACGCATACGACGTCGGGCATCGGGGCCACTCGCGAGTCTGAGTCTTACATCTTCCTGCCTCGGCCTCCGCCGCACCTGCGGCGTGCTGCTGCTGGGGGGGGGACGCCAACGTCGCACGCGACGCGCGTGTCTTCTGTTCCATGCTTATGGCAAGCGCAAAAAAAGGGGCAGAAGTGCTTCCATCCTACCTTCGGCACACCCACATTGCCGA